GTTGGATATATAGACTGCCGTACAGTAATTTTACGGCAACAGTAATTTTAATTACTTACCACAATTTTAGAATGAAAATTCTGACAGTGTATTATCATACTGAACTTAGCGTTTTATTTACAAACGCAAAACGTATCTAAGATAATAAAGCTAATAGAGCTCTGAGCGAGAGAAAGCTTTAAATGTATAATTTAAATTGCTTTATTTATAAAAAAATTACATTAACATGTATAATAAATAAAACAAAAATAAAACTTATTCTTTAATATTTGATGCGAATAAGTTTAATATTCATGCTTTATAAAATATTATTTACAATATCTTTTGAATGACTTATGTATTGAAATCAATTACTTTGTTTAGAAGAACAAGTTATAATAAAACTATTATCAAGTTTATATTTTGAACTGTTTTTGAGTAACTAAATATAACTTTTAAAAAAGTCTTACTTTTTACAAAAAATTTCAACGCTTTTGCAAGTTTTACAAGATTTCAAATTTCAAAAGGTTTAAAATTAAAAGCTGTAAAATGTAAGAAATTTAAACAATAATGCATGTTGCAGTGTGATTGACATATAATGACTTTCATTTGGTTCCAAAACATATTATTTGTGTTTCCTTGTAGTATTATGCAGTGTATAAAATTCAAGAAAATATAAAATCATACTCATCATCATAGTATCAAGATTATTACTTAATAGTATCATTTATGAACATTTAGAAAGTACGAATACAGTTACTACACAACCTCGAAGAAACATTAAGATAAACCATTAACACATCAAAACATTTAGTTATATACACTCCAACAATAAGTATTGTTAAAATAAATTGTGCGGAAAACAGTAAAATAATGAATGCAATTTTTAAAATTTTAAGCAAACGAAAAAACGCTACATCATAAAAAAAATTATATTCATTACTCTTTAAAAATAAGAGCAGTAAAATTGTACAGTAAAATAGGAGAAACATTGAATTTGACACAACAATAAAATTAATATCAATTTCTTTTTTGAGTAATTAACGAAATTGAGAGTTGCTTAAATCGTACTATTTTTGACTTCTTAAATTTTAACATAAACAAGTCATTTTATTACCTGTATTTGAAATGATTTAAGAACAAAATATAGTTATTCAGCAACGTATATTACTTTTTGGGTAAAATTATTTTTGCTGTAAGTGATAAAAATGAATATTTTATTAGTTCTGGAAGTGGTAAGATTTCAGAAAACAGTTTCCTAATTCAAACCACAAGCTCTCTAAATCATCCTGACCTAGAAAACTTGATTAAAAAAATGACTAAACCAATGAATAAAGAATAAGTAATCTAAAACAAGTATTTAGCATTATGTAAAATAGAATACGACATTTTTCGAACTGTTACGAGTTCAGTGAATGACACTATAAGTCAAAAAAGTTTCCATAAAACATGATAGTTTCTTACAAGAAAGCTCAAGAATGACTTTTACTTGGAAATAAAAATATCATTAATTATAAAAACTGACACTTATAAAACTTATTATTATATTCAATACTTGATAGTTATGTTATTTTTAGAAATAAAATACAATAATGTTTCGGATATAAAATCGTTTTTAACTTTCGACTGGTACATTTTTTATGAACCCAAGTTCAACACAGAAAAGATAACACCATATCTTCAACTGAATTGAGCTTCCCACACAAAGCAAAGTATTCATCAAGTCTATTTTTGAGCACATGAATCATGCTGAATTTTATTTCCATATGCATATTTTTGAACCCATTGAAGTCTGTTGATAATCAAGTAATATTTTAACCTTTCAGTTTATTGGGATTATTTATTTAATACGCCAAACTTCTTTCGATTCCTTGCTTCCAGAAGTTGTTTTCATCGATTTCAGTTTACTGTTTTCGATTTTTTTGTGGGATTTTGATCAAATTTCTTTAATTTTATATTCCTCTCCAGCCCTTTAAGTTTTTATTTGGCGAGTTTTAGTTCAATCGACTTTTCCAGCTTAATTTAATAAAGGCTACGTTTTAAAAACTACAGCTCTTTTTGATTTAGAAGCAACTTTTTTTTCGTTTTTGGTATTAGAATCATGGAAATTGATCATTTTCATGAATCATTTTCTATTAAAACCTTTGGTGCAGATGAAGACATGGGAGCAGATAGATCTGTTAAATCCCTACCAAACGTATGACGTTGCTTGTATCATGATGTGGCTCATCACTTGGATTCAATTGATTTGTAAACATGATTATAAAAAGTCTCTGGTGAAAAGACAATTTCTTAAAATATATTGGATCAAAGGGCCACACGCCGGAATACTTACATTTTTGAGCAGAATTTTCAACTATCCCTGCCCTATTTTAAACGTCTGTCACTAGACTCGAATCTTGGTAGTGTGTCATAATCAGGCCAGGATAACTTCGCAATCACTTTTCAACCGCTTAAATAAAGAACAAGTTAAAGAAGAAAAGTCATCTATCCAGCTGTTGGTGTAGATGATTTGTGTGTTCTGATAGGTGTAACGTAATTTAATTGAGCATTTTTATACAGTATCAAATCATCTTGATTTCTTAAATAAGTCAGATAACCTCCAAAAGAAGTAGAACTTGTATTATGCTGGAACAGGTTGACAAACTTACATTTCATTAAAGGAGTAATAGAAAATGCTAATTGATTTAGAGCATTTTAATGGTACAAATGGTGATACTTTTGTAATGTTGATTAAATTGTTAAATTGTTGGAATAATTTAAGGAAATACTGAAAGATATGAAAACTTATATGACAGATGTGGACTTTGGAATTGATTCCTAGATCGTACAGGAACAACTTAAGAGACTACAATAGGTACAATTTAAGCTATTACGTAACTCTTTAAACAAAGCCTCCCATTCCTAGCCTCAAACAATAATTCCCAACCTACGAAACAAGTTGAGCATAACAGAATAAATTGTTTAATAATTATTTGATGCATTTAATAATTTCCACGCAACATAAAATGTGCTGCATCCTTATACATGATGTTTAAAAATTAGATTGAAAACCTGTTAAACCAATAAATTTAAATAAAAACTTTCGTGCACAACAACTTGATTCTTATGCCTGGATTTCCAAGTAAAAAAACATTTTTTAATTCATCCGCTAGGGCATTCTGTCCTCAGTACTTTTTTAGAAATCAAAGAGGGTGCAATTTAAGAAAGGTACGATTTAGGCAACTTTCATCTGTGTATTTATTTTAAGAACTCACAGTTTAAAAAAAATTATTCAATCAATGAATGTATATTATATACAATTTTTCATTATTTTATATACACTTTTTGTACACATAACAGCTTTTAAAAACATTTATTACGTAAAACACGAACATCGTGCTTCGGTCAAAACTTTCTCAGACATTTAAAATAATCTCTCTGAATCTGAAAGTTCGAGAGTTTATTTCACTTATTAGAAATGACATACTTTAAAATTCAAATCATACTGAGTAACGTATTTTTTAGCAATTGTTCGGGAATTTTGTCCGATTTCAACATCGAGTTTAAAAGAAAAAATTTATTATTGAGTGAAGATATTTCCTCTGTATCGTAATGACTTCCCTATTTGAGCTTTTGTATCGATAACATAATTATTTCTCCTTTTAGAAAAATCATATAGCACTTATTAATTCATTTTTAATAGCAGCGATTTATTTTTAAGCTAATAATAAATTATCGGTAATGCCATTTATTAACAATACACAAAACAATTGTTGATGCATTTTGAGAAACATTAGTATTACTCAAGATACTGATAATATATTGATTCATTTTACTGTAAACATAAGCAAATTCATAACTATTTACTTTTCGACTGTTACATTTATAGCTATTGCATTTGTTAGGCCCTTTATGATTTCCTACACTCTCAGAAAATTCTGTCCAACTTTAAACATTAATATCGGCACTTTAAGCCATAATACTTTGCAAATCTGATGGCACCTTAATACGGCAATAATAAATCTTAAAAATGGCAAATTTTGGTTATGCGCGCCTATATTTGAGAGCGTGAAGCACATTAAAGTTTATTTCCATCTTCATATTTTAGAAGCCAGAGAAGGTTTTTCAGCCAGTGGTACCTTAATAAGGTGGTAAATTAAATACTATTTTCGTTTAAATTTATAAAGTCTAAGAAAGTCTATAAAATGGAATAATTGATAAATAGATAAAATGGATAATGGACTATATTGAAATTGTGACTTATTTGAACAATGATTCAACATGCTTCAAAAGAACAAAGATCAGTTCTGCAATTCAGAACAGTGTTCTAAATTTCAGAAAGAGAAAATTGGTTTTAAAATCGCAATCATTTTTTTTTATTTCTCTACATATGAGTAAAATTTCAAATTGGACAATCATTCTGGTTCAGATATATAGCAATATAAAAACATTAAATATTTCTTGATCATAATAAACCATAACAAAACAAAATCATAACAAAAATATAAAGTTGACTTCATTTAAGCTGCTCTAAAACTAACTTTCATTTTTCATATTATACACCTCGAAGAACATTGCTTGGTTTCTACAGGTAAAACAAAATTTTCCATAAAACTATAGAATAAGAACTAAATTACCTCTGCTTTGACTTTTATATAAATCAAAGATGATTAGTTTTCAGAAAAAAAACATGGTTTTCCCATAAGATTTTTCATTGTAAGTATAATGACGAACAGGAAAATGAGAACCCATTGAGATAAATTTTGAAAGATAATTGGATTTTCAAATGTTAAAAAGCTGAAGCATTAGTCATTATTTAATTAAAATTATCCAAAATACACTAGGTGTATCAGGCCTAGTGCATCAGCTCATCAATTCATCTTTTTTTAATAAAAAATTTAAAAATTACAAAATCAACATATAAGACTAAAATATACCAGTATACAAATTTTGTAAATATAAATAAATGTAAATTCTTATTTTTCAAGAAATTTCAATAAAAAAATGGAAAAATATTAAAGGGATATTATCATCAGGGATTAAAAAAAAATAATTGGAAAATTAGAGCTCCATAAAGATGCACCTGTGCAGTTTTTTGTAAAGTTAAGAAAAATAAGAAGAAAAAAAAGGAAAAAAAAAACGAAACAGCAAACTGGATTTTGTGACTTTCCCTTAAGTTCGTTATAAGCAAAATTTAAACTTGAGTAGCTTGAGTTGTTTCCGCAGCAACATTAAAACCATTTTTTAACCCAGAAACATCTTTTTCACTTTTCATAACCGTAATTCCCGTTGATTGTTCCATTTCGTGTCGGTCAACTTTGAGAACACGAGGGGTGTCACTTTTTCTCTCCCCTTGGCGACTGGAACCACTTTTGGTTTTAGGAAAAACACTGTTTTCCACGTGAAGTTGAGCGTTTACTTCGCGGCGAGAAGCGCAAGTAAATGCCTTTGCGAAGCTCTTCTTAAAGTTATCACTTAAAAAAGCGTAAAGAATGGGATTAACGGCCGAGTTGGCGTACGACAAGCACTGCGTCAGGAGCATCATCGTAAACGTGAACGTATTCTGACCTGAATCCGGAGGAATGAAAGTTAACCACAGCTGAGCACTCCAATATGGTAGCCAACATAAAATGTAAACAGTTATGACAGTTAAAACGAGATATGTTACTTTTCTGTGTGTTTTTTTCTTTTCCTTGCTTTTATTCTTAGGTCCAACTTTCCTCAGTTTACATATCACCAAAAAATAAAATACAATAATAAATAGCAGTGGAGCAGCGAAACCTAAGGTAAACGCATACAATGTGAAAGCCTTTTCTCCGTTCATGTACGAGCTTTCTGGCCAGTATATGTTACAATTTATGTAATCTCCTGCATTGAGAATGCTTGCGTACATATATATTGGGACCATAAGGAGTGCGGATATTGTCCATGCTGTTAGGCATATGAACTTAGCAATAAATGGTGTGCGATACCTAGGTGATTGAATTGGATGGCACACTGCCATATAACGATCAGCACTCATTACCGTCAGCAACAAGCTGCTTGTAAATTGGTTAATGCTTGTTGTAGTCATATATATTTTGCACATGGCTCTACCAAATGGCCATGAGTGGTAAATCATTGTAGTAAGAAGAAATGGTAAACCAATTAAATACATTTCGTCCGCAAATGCCAGATTCAAAATGTACATGTTTGTAACGGTTTGCATTTTGGAAAACCGCAGCACCACATAGATTACCAAACTATTACCGCACAAACCTAATAAACCCACTAATCCATACGATATCCTCGCAAACTGCACCAACCATTCAGGGGGAGAGAAGAACATAAATCTGTCTTCTGGGGGATCTGGAAAAGTGCAGTTTGTTTCATTAGGTAATAAAAAGGGGAATAAATGAGTGCAATTTAAGGATATATTATATATTAAAAAAGCGACATCCCCGAACTCCGTCATCCTTGCTATTCCGTAATCCAGTTTGAATATTAAAGGGTTTTTAATTTAAATGTGCATCAATGATTTTCTATACTAAATATAAAAATCATAACATAATTTAGTACTTAATGTTGTTTTGCATTATTTTAGTTTAAAAAAGTTTGAAAAAATGGATTTAAATGTTAAACTACAGGTGTGAAATTGTTTTCGAAATAAAATTTGTAGATCTGTACATCTGTAATAATATTGTCATGTAAGATGCATCTAAAACCTACCTAAGCAAATAATGTTTTTCGTTTGAGATACATACACAAAATGTAAGTAAAAAAGTTCAGGTATATTTTTCTAAAGACAGTGAAGAAGCTTCCTTTTCTCAAAAAAAGTGAAAGTAGCTTTTTTTTTTATGTTAAGCCTGTTTTCTATCAGTTTTTTTCCAGTTGAATGTCTTTGATGTAACTGTATCCAGTATGTATGAAAAATCTTTTAAGAAGTATTACAATTTTTCTGACTTCTTGTTTGCTATACTCTGAAAGTAAATTCCTGCAGACATATTTGATTTCAACTATCTTGGATCTTCTCACTGCACTGATTGTGAAATATATTTCATCGATCCTGAAAAATTAAATAAATAATATTACCTCTTGATAGTACAAAAATGTGAAATTTATATCTAAAAAAATAGTATGCAATAAATAAAGGAGAATAAACCTTTCTTTACAACATTTAGGGCCTGAATAAAACTTTAAACTTTAAAAATTATGTATTATAGTAAAAATAGCGCAATTAAAGCATTCCGTCATTGAATTCTGATATAAAACCCATTATGAACCATAATGTTGATCAATTTTGGTAAAAATTTTATAAAAAGTCAAATTAAGCCATATTATGAATCATAGTATCATATTAATCGAATCAATAGTATACGGGAGGTGATGCATGTGTGTGGCAGAAATCAAATTTTTTGCCATGGATGGTGCCACTGGAAAACAAGAAGAAGCACACTCCCTTTGTCTTAATATCATAGGACAACAACAACAAGAAATAAATAGTATCTGTAATCAAGTTTAAAATAATTCAACTTAAACTATATTCTATTTGAAACTGCTACGTTCGTATGGCACAATACTCTGATTCTGTTTCACCGTAATATATCGTTCAACTCGTTCAGCTTGGTGCTAAATATACATTCTAAATAAAATATAATATGCATAGTTGGTGCTAAGTATACATTTTTTTAATGAAAGGCATGAAATATTAAAAGTAAGAACAAGAGTGAAGTATTAATGCTATTTTATTTCATAAGAAACTTATACTAATTTCAGAAAAATAAGTTTAGTAACACCTAACAGTTATTGACGATCATCCTAAACACAGTTTAATAATGAGCTTTTACTTAATACTAAATAATCCATTTTTTCCGCTTTTCGCACAATATAGCATCCTATCATCTGACCCACGGAAATACCATTAACATACATTTAAGGAAATTATCAGATTAAACACTCACAGAAAAACTGTTTAAACACTTTTTTTATGTTTGAAAGTTTTTGATAGTTACTCTTTGCTCTTTCTATTTCTCTAACTTGTAGCAGTACTACTATTGGGCATCCCTTCAACAACATTTTTAAAATGTCCTTTCCTCGAAAACTAATAATCATAATTGGAAATCATGTAATGGAATGCATTCAACCATATTGTGTTAGCCATGAAATTTAACTGATTAAATATGTTTTACAGTGCTAAGTTATAAAACTACATCAAAAATACATGGTTAGATTTCATATGTTGAAACTAATGAAAAATATACATAATATTATCCCCTACAAATAGAGTTATTATGCCTTTTAAAGTTACTATTCACACACTTAGACAATTCTATGAAAAAGAAGGAAGATTTTTTTAATGATCTGGATTGTTAACTTTAATGTTTGCAAAACTAAAGAAGAAGTGTTTCTATGATGTGACAGCTTGTCAGAGTGAAAATTATTTCCAAATTGACTGCTAAGCAAACAATTTGAATCCCTTAGCATCGTTGTTCTGTGAAGCTCACAGTTATAGCTGGTGAATTATTAATATCATTTCTATTTGTATTGTATATTACCAGTGAAGGAATATGATTATTAAATTTTTATCCCTCCATTTTCACATATTTTGAAAGTAATTTTACTTCATGTTCCATAGGAGAATCGGAATTATTTTTTTATCTCAGTAATTTTAGCAAAGAGTTAAAAAAATATTAAATGACACAGATTCGGAGAAGGATGTAGTTGCTGATATTTTAACCATTTCAAAGGAGAAAAGGAATGAAAGAAATAGAGAAAACTAATCAAACAAGTGAAAGATCATAGTACTTTCAAGCAGGAGACAACAGAGATTCTCCTGGAAAAAAAGATTTGTCTGGTGACGGTTTCTTTATACGGTTATATGGTTAGAAAAATGATGACTTAGAGCTTTTCTATCAAAAAATCAATGAAGAAAGGTATTTGTACAATGTTCTCTTTTCATACTTAACTGAAAAAATCCATCATTTTTCAGTAATCAACGAGCTACATTCATTTTTTTAAATGGTCGTTGGATATTTTTTTTCTTCTTCAAAATTCTTAATCGTATTAAGAGCTAACATAGATGTTTTCTCTTTTGACTCATTTTACTAATATCTTTTTACCGAAATTTTATACCAAATATTTTACCTACCAAATATGCAACTACCTTTAATATTTTTTTATAAAAATGACATGATTATTCTATTTTTTCAGTCTTTGTTTGCACAATTTACCCCTTGGAAAAGCAGTCTCATTTTTCCCGTTTGTTTGCATTTATTTTAAAAAAAATACGCGGTGGGTAAAGTTATTTTGATGATTTGGTTCTCTGGATAACTTTGCGCACCAAATTTTGAATTTATGGTCTAAGAAAAATAAACGAAATATTTTAATACCACAAATTAGAAACGTGGTGACACAGGCAAAAGAGCACTCGTCTCCCATTGAGGTTATCCTGTTTCGATTCCCATCTTGAATCCGACCGACCTTCTTAAATCCGATCAACTGAATTGATCGACGCATCTTGTCGAATCCGATTACTTCATGTATAGTCATATAGTCATATTGAATATATATTCAAAATTCATTTTACTAACGGCTTGCACGAAACAAAGTATTAAAGTTAATGTCCTCAGTAGTTGCTTGATCATGGGTTAGAATACCCTTGTCCTCTGTGGAAGGTTTTCCTCCCCATGTAAAGGCAATTGTGGTTTAGTTCTATCAAAATATCCTACACGAAGCCTATTTTGTTGCTATTCTTTATACAAGTGTTCCTTTGTCTTCTGAGTTAGGCTCCAAATCACCAGGCTACAGGCTAGTAGCATAACTATTGTAAATCTCAAACTATGACATTTGTTTCCTCCCGACTGATCACCCGTGTCCCCAAAATAGGATGACCTATTGATAGTCGTAAGCTCCGGTGCAGAATAATTAACCCATAAAAGGGTCAGTAATTAGAAAAATAAAGCGACCTCTGACGGAGCTATGAAAGACTGGATAAAACTTATTTTTATTGATAGGTGAAAAATTGGATGAAGCGCTCCTTTGCGGAAAGGTAGGTGAAAATCCAGATAAAATGCACTCTCAAGTATATATATATATATAT